CTGTAGGAAGGATCCTACATGATTCAAATGAATCATGTTAGATTAGCTAAAAATGTTCTGCCATAAATACTCACACACGCTTACTGAACGTAGGAGAAGCTTGATGTGAATTCCTTAATATTGGTACCTGCATAGTAGAACTGTAACTTGTACCTATGGTGCGTAAATCATACAAATATTACAGAGGTTGAGTGCTCTTGCAAGGAGCACACTAGAGATATTCTTGCTGTGTTGTTTTAATTGCCTAGTGAGTAGGTGACCATGTCCCTTGTTTCTGTTTCAATATTTTGGTATCAGAATGGAAAAGGTGATCTCTGTAGCACAGTTGATGACACATACTGGTGCTATCTTTGTGATCTAAAAAGGAATTGTGTAACAATTTTTAAATCTGTGAAACCTTTCCACTCACTCACATTTAGCAGACACAAAGGAAATAACCTGGATCTAATGTGCGGGAAGCATCTCTAGAGTCCAAGTACAAGGGAGAGGAAAAGAACTGATCAGCAAAGAACTGGCTATACTTGCAGTGGTCATTCAGCATGTAAACTAATTAAGGAATTAAACAAAGAAAATGAGCACTGAATGTCTATTTTCAGACTCTGCTGCAGTCATATGATTTCTGTTGTACACTGAGGCCATGAGTTCAGGACCTGGGAAGATGATGCTTGCAGACCCATCATATATACTATATGCTAACAGTATAATCATGCCAAATAGCATCTTGGCCTTATTTTTTTTATTATTTTCATATCTTTCATAGATTATTTGATAATTTTGGAGTTCTGATGTGATTGGTTATCCTTACAGCTCTGAAAATAGCAGCTCAGTTGTAGTCAAAATGCACCAGTGCACGAGAGAATGTCCAAAAAAGAAAGTCATGAGTCATGTGAAGGCAAGGGTCTTTCTGATCTGTTCCGTCCTCGTAATGCTCCGTCATGTTTTGCATGTCACTAAGGCTAATCCTGCTCTGGCAGGAGTGCAGTTATTTCTGCTAACATCCACTGAAAATGTTCTATATGGAAATAGCTGCTGTGGCGCAGAGTTGAAGCATGACTTGATGCAAAACCTTTGCTCTTCAGTGCAGGTAGGAGGTGCAGTAAGCCAGTCTGAGCACTCCTGATCCCGTGCCCCTGCTCTCTTCATGTTGACCTCTATTTCTGTAGCTGCATTTGATTTCTGCCATGCTTTTCACGACCCCATGTGGCAGAACAGTCCCAAATTAATAAGGATCTGTGTTGACAGCTGCTTCAAAAGCGTCTGGCCTCTTTCAGTGATTTTTTTTATTTCTTTTTCTTGTGAGCAGGGTGTTGGATGCAGGCTCTCCAGTATTTCTTTTGATGTTTGATGCTTTCCAATGGAATTCTGGCCTCTGGTGCTTGGAGGACTGTTTTTAGCTTTCTTTTGCAAATTAACTGCTGCAAGAATAATTTCTTGTTTACTACAGAAGTGTGACTACTGAGTGATGAAAAGAGAAGTGTCTTCTGGTGGGTTTCACCGGTGAAGGCTGTATCTAGTTCTCTTCTTGAATCTGACTTGTGCATAAAACCCAGCATTGAAACCAGGCCCCAAGGTGCAGTGCTGTGTTCTAGCCATGGTGACCATGTTTATTAATTATTTGTTCCACGTTTCTTTGATATGCGCTAGTTGGGTTTGTGCTCTCTGCTTTTGTTATTGCAGAAGTGTTGCACCATTGTGGTATTTCAAATTACTTTTGAGAATTTGCACACCATCTGTGTGCAATAACAAAGCTTTTAGCAACTCCAGATTGCCATGCTCGTGATGGGGAGTGTGGATGAAAGCCAGCCCAATGAATTAAGGTCATGTCCCTACTGGGGACAGAAAGGAAACTCTAGGTAAAACGATCTAGACAATCCTTTGAGAGGCATCTGTTCCTGATAGGACTTTGGCAGTCGTGGTTACGGCTGTTAATCCTTAGGCTTTCAGCCACTGAACAGTAGGAGGGGAGAGATGGGGACTTGCTCCAGGTGTTAATGGGTACCTGAAGGAGAAATACTTCATGTTTTTGACAGCCATAGATGGATGGAGAGTATTGTTGGATGGAAGACTTGTAAAGCTACCACACAAGTTTAAAAAAAATAAATCATGATACAAAGCAAAATAGACATCACCTACTTTTCAGACAATGTTTTTAAAGAGGATTAATACAGCTACTGAATCTCTCAGATCAGTGGAGGTCTTTTAGTGGATAAGTACTCCATAATGTGAAAAATTTAAAAACCTGACATTTACAATATTGAGGAGAAACTAAAAGCTTCTGCATATAGGTCTGTGTGGGAGGAAATAAGGTTGAAAGATTAAAATAAATAAAAAAAAAAAAGAAAAAACCAATGAACTGTTGTACCAGATAAATAAACTATATTAAGAAAAATCCAACATGAGAGGGACATCTGGTGGCACAAATTTAAATAATAATAATAATAAAACAGTGGCAGAATAGGTGTCCTGGGATGTTACCCTGCAGTAACATTTCTGATAGAAATTCTATGCCTAGTTAGATTTTTCTTAGAGCAGCACTCTTGCTATTCCCTTTCTCATCGTCCCCCTTTTTTGTCTCCATGAGCATGTCTCCATGGTTTAGTGGGGACTGTTAGTGTTAGGTCAGAGGTTGGACTCGATGATCTTGAGGTCTCTTCCAACCTAGAAATTCTGTGATTCTGTGAAAGGATTATAGTACATGGAAGTTCCACCAAATGCACCCTGAGTCTTGGTGCAAATGATACGAATTTTTAAGGAAGGAATAGGTTGAGGTGTCACTACCATTATTTGACTGAATTTGTTGCTTCATTAATGGTGTAAAATGTAACAGTACTTTAGCTGTGGGCAGCTAACATTTATTTTCCACGTGTATCACAGTCAGGTTTCCACGTGTTCATTTAATTCGGAAGTGTCCATTGAGTTTTCAGGAGTGCAGAGGGCCACAACTGTGTGCGATCCATTGAAATGAAACTTAACACACATCTGTGAGTCGCGGCGTAAGAGAAGTATGACAGTCTTGGTGTGCCTGAACTTGTAGCTCCCTTCTTTGATTAGTTTTGATCACGTGGTGATAAAAGTTTAATTATCTTTTAGAAGCAGTAGGTCTCCCAGGAGCTCTCGCTGTAACTTCATGGAGCAGCAGTGAGTTGGCCTGGGCTCTGGGCTGAGCTGTCACTCTGTTAAGAACCAACACGCTGTCAGTTAAAGGGAAAAAACTTTTTACATAGAAATACCTGTCAGCTATAAAGGAGTTAAGCTTGGACTTAATAAAATAGTAATAAAAATAAAACACTGAAGACTATTTTGATTTGGTGGAACATCTTTTGTTTTGAAATTCGAGCAAGCAGATGTTGTTTTGGGCAGTCTGAGGATTTCCAATACCACCTTACTTTTATATCTGAGATATATTTAAGGTTCAATGTGTGCTGTTTTACTAAGGATGTTTATAATGTGCCTATTCATGCCTAAGGATCCAGAAATACTATGTGAATCAATTGGTATGTAAATCATTCCCCGCTTTGGAAAGATAGGAGATCATTTCTCCAGCAGTAATTCAATCAGAGCTTGTTTTTTGTACAACCACAATGCACTTGCCTAAATTTAATTCAAAGTTTATGTTTCCTAGCTACAGTTCTAGTACTTAACTTTCCATGAGTAGAAATGCCATAAATTATAACAGAAATGAAGGACAACAGTGAAGTGATCTTTGGGGGCTGGGGAGTGGAATAAGGTGCAAAAATGAGATTTTGGTTTTGAGAGTTTTGCAGGAGACTGCCTATGGATTTGCCAAGTCACGGTGTTGTCCAGCCAAGGTTTTTGAGCAGTACAAATACATTGTAGAATGTTTTTTCTACCTACAGGTGAAGTGAAATCCCAAGTGCAGCAGTGTGATTGCCCCAAGACTCATCCCTTTGGCTAATTCCGTTCCCATTAGAAATCCCACAGTGCGACAAGCACTTGGCTTGCATTAATGAAAACCTTGCGCTTGTTGGTACCGATGGAATTGGGTGTGTGGACTTGTACTGGTACACAACGGCTGCGTGCTTACGTTTTTTTGAAAGGACTTCAGTTGTTGAAGAGCCTTGTTCCAGTCCCTTACTGGTTTGAGGGGCTCAATGCCCAGTTCCTGTAGGGACGGCCTGCCTGTGTCGTGGCTGTGGAGCAGTCGGTTTGGTGTCACAGAGCGAGCTTCAGTATCTTATAGGGATGTGTTTTCCAGTGCATTGAGTGAGCAGAAGGCTCTTGGGTGTTTTTCTCTGGCCTTGCAGACGGGGTGCCCGTATCGTGTTGTGACACCAGTGCCTGTGTGCGTACACGAGGTTTTTCTCCGTACATGTGCGTGACGCGTTAGCGTGTGGTGCAAAGCCACGTTTAAGTGCTGGTGTGAATCCCTGGCATGCTTACCCACGGGAATGCCCTCAGGTTTTCCAGTCCGTGTAGCTGCTTTGGGCTCTGTCAGCGGTCAGTTTGGGATTTCTGGTGCACCATCAGCGGTCGGACAGCCGGCTGGGAGCCTGCAGGAGCCCCCCGAGCTGGTGAGCCACCTCCGGGTTTGGGTGCCCTCGCTTTCAGGTGCCTCCTGAGCAACACAGACCATGGCAGGCAGGAAGACCCTGAATGGGTTTCCTTCCTCCCCCCTGAATGAGCGCTTGTGCCCTGGGGAAGAGCCTCAGCGGAGCCCGGGGTGCTCATTTCACACCCAGGCTCGGGCTGCTCAGAGCCGGCACAGAGCAGGGCAGGTGTCCGTCCATCCGTCTGTCCATCCATCCATCCATCCATCCATCCATCCGTCTGTCCATCCATCCATCCATCCACCCCTCCGTCTGGGTTGCGCCGTGCAGGAGGGGACCCGGGGGGGTTTTTACCGGTGGGGGGGGGGCTGCGGGGTCCCCGCCGGCGGCGCCGCGCCCTCGGCGCGCTCCTGGCCGCCGCCCTCCCCTTCCTGCCGCCCTCCCCTCCCCTCCCTTCCCCTCCTTCCCTCCCTCCCGTCCCCTCCCCTCCCTCCCGGCTCCGCAGTGCCGGGCCCGAGCTCCGCCGCCGCGCTCGGCCGGGGCCGCGCCGGGGCTGGGTGGCGGCGGCAGGTGAGGGGCGGGGGGCGGCGGCGGAGGCTGGGGGGGGGGGGGACCGGAGGCTGGGGGGGGGCCGGGGCGGCGGGCGGCGGCGGGGGGAGCCGGGAACAAAGCGGCGGGCAAGATGGAGCCAGGAGGGAGAGGGGCCGGGACCCCCGCCCCGCCGCGCATCCCGGGAACGGGGGGACCGGGGGGGCACCGGGGGGGGGCCGGGGCGGGCGGCGGGGAGCGCCCGGGGGGGGGCCGGGGGAGCAGGGCGGGGATGATGCTGTAAAACGCTTTCCCCTTCTCTTCTGTCAGCTGCGGGAGGAGTCCCGCCCGGGCCCGGGGATCGTCCCTGCTGCTGCCCCCCGGCCCCGCAGCCCCCCCCCGAGCCCCCCGGGGACCGGCAGCAGCCCCCCCTCCCCCCGGGGCGGCTGCCCGAAGTTGCTGCCATGCCCCCCGCCCGGTCCCGGTGCGGCGGCGGCGGCGGCAGGGAGCCGGCTTGCGAGGGGGATTGTGCTGCAGACAATGCGCGGCGGCATCTGGAGCAGCCCCGGGGACCGGAGCTCCGGTTTTGACATTGCTGCACACACGGCACCAGCCGCAATGACAGCGGCTGCCTGGAGCGGCTGCAGGCAGCAGGCAGGAGCATGAAGTGAGGAGACCACTGCAGTGCTCAAGATGAACTCCTCCTTGGTCGGCAACCAGAGTGGCCGGCCCTTCTGCCTCCTGGCCATTAGCTACCTGGAGACCATCAATTTTTGCCTGCTGGAAGTGGTCGTTATCGTGTTCCTCATGGTGCTGATTATTTCGGGCAACATCATCGTGATATTTGTCTTTCACTGTGCACCTCTGCTGAACCACCACACCACCAGTTACTTCATACAGACCATGGCGTATGCTGACCTCCTGGTGGGCGTGAGCTGTCTGGTGCCTTCTTTGTCTCTGCTGCACTATCCTATTGTGTTAAGTGAGTCCTTGGTTTGCCAAATCTTCGGTTACGTGGTGTCGGTGCTGAAGAGCGTCTCCATGGCCTCTTTGGCGTGCATTAGTATTGACAGATACATCGCCATCACAAAGCCGCTGACCTACAACACGCTGGTCACCCCGTGGAGACTGCGGATCTGCATCCTGATAATCTGGCTGTACTCCTGCCTCGTCTTCTTACCCTCCTTCCACTGGGGAAAGCCTGGATATCACGGGGATGTGTTCCAGTGGTGTGCCAATTCCTGGAACACCGATCCCTATTTCACTCTCTTCATCGTGGTGATGCTCTACGCCCCGGCTGCTTTCACCGTCTGCTTCACGTACTTCAACATCTTCCGCATCTGCCAGCAGCACACCAAGGAGATCAACGAGAGGCGAGTGCGCTTCAGCTCTCAGGACGGGGAGACTGGGGAGGCCCAGCCCTGCCCGGACAAGCGCTACGCCATGGTTCTTTTCCGTATCACCAGTGTCTTCTACATCCTCTGGCTGCCCTACATCATCTATTTTCTGCTGGAGAGCTCCAATGTCTATAGTAACCGCGTTGCGTCCTTCTTGACCACTTGGCTTGCCATAAGCAACAGTTTCTGCAACTGTGTCATTTACAGTCTCTCCAACAGTGTCTTTCAGAAGGGGCTCAAGCGTCTCTCGGGGGCTATTTGTGCCTCTTGTGCTAGACAGAGGGTGGCTAAGGACTCCTCTACCTCTAGGAGCAAAAGATCTTCCAATGGATGTCACGTCTAAGACACCTATCAGCTTGACTGGGAAGTGCAGGGACAACTCTGTAGATTGCAAAAAATTAAATACGATTTTAAGATGTCCAGATTTGCAAAAAGGTTTCTGAGAAATGCTGCTGACATAGAAGAATCAGGAGCACATATCATTGTGATTTCACTTTTAAAAATTTATTGCTGTGGAGGCGGCCGTGGAGTTTCACCTCCATGTTCATTTTTAAGAATAAAGCTGTATCTTGACAGTTACCTCTCCAGCTGGTGTGACTGAATGGAGTGGGTGTCTGAGAGCTTCAGCAAAATGTAGTCTTTCTTACAGCTCTACTAGGTTCTTTGGAGATTCGTGCTTCACATGTAAATGATAGATCTGAAGTGGAAATGTCACGGTATATGGTGTATTACAGGGATTTTTTAATATATGCCAAAGTATATCGACACAATTTTCCAGCGTCGTAAGAGAAGGGGCCAAACAATTTGTTTTTCAGTGCTACCTAGACAGGATTTCTAGATCAGTAGTGAACAATGTGAACATTGCAGCATGAACTTAAAGTCTTACTGAGCCATGGGTGCAGCAGCCTGGTCTGGGCAGTCGTACGCGCAGGGGGAGTGATCCGGCTTCTGTGCCCCTTCCTCTGGTAGGCTGCCTGCGTGCGATCAGCGTGGCATCTGCGTTCTCCTATTTGTTGTGAAGTAGGAAGAAAAACTTGGATCAGACCAAATCTAGCAGTTAAATAAAATGTGTTTTGATAAGCTAAGAGAAAATACTTGTCGTTTTATGATAGCAGAGTTGTGGCAGTCACTCGAGGATGATGCCAACATGTGAAAATTATTCCCAAAACAGTGGAGAAATGCCACATTTTTGTGTGGAAATTTTCTCAAGAACGACTTTAAAAATAACATCTCCCCCCCCTTTTTTTTTAATCTAAATTCTTCTGATATTTTACATACTGGAACTTAAGGGGAAAGGAAAGAAAACAATTGTCTTCTAAACAGCTAAGGGAACTATGCTGTAAATTTAACTGTAGTATTTGAGTTATTCATAAGTGCACAGAGCTAAATCAGAGACATTTTTCTTTAGGCTGCAGGGGATTAAAGATGGTTCGAATATAGCAGGAGCTAAATCCTGTTGGCAAACGCATATTTAACTGGTCAAACAACGTATGGTATCTGAGAAACAAAGTCTCATTGACCACGGCTTTTTCCAAGCTCGCTTAGGTGAGGTGTTTCCGAGTATTGTGATGCTGTTAGAATGCAGAGTGGCCCTCAACTGATCGGTTTTTCTAAAGAATATCTCTGTCTCTGTACCGATGCCATATTGGAATATGAAAGTATTTGTGAACCACGTTTTCCTGTAATAACGGGTTACATCTGCATCACCTTTCCTAGCTGCAGCTCTGCGGCCTGGGGGGTCCCCAGCAGGCACAGCTCTGCTCTGCAGCTGAAGCTGCGCCCGCCCATGGTCACCGCGTTGTGCTCCCCCCCTGTGCCCCACTGCTGTGACCTGGGGGTATCCTTTGAGCTCTTCTGTTAGAGTTGCTGTTGGTGGATGCTGTTAGCCATACGGGGAAAGGAAAAAAAAAATAGAAAAATAGGGAAAATAAATTTCAGAGGAATATTTTTGAAGCAGGGTAATTCTTTTGGCCGAAGGGAAGACTGTGTATTTGTTAATTGGTTTCAGCTCTACTGTTGTCATTGACTGAGAAGATCTGTTTTAAAGTGGTCTACCCTGCCCCGCCCGCAAGCATCTACATACCCTGCTCTGATGTGCTGCGTGCTCCGGCCCCTGGTTTTCCACGCTGTGCCCGGAGGACGGCAGGGCACTGCCAGAGGGCACCAGGGTGTTCTTGGTGTGCCTGGTCCTGCTCAGCAGCAGGCGTTGATGCACGAGTCCCCCGCGAGCACGGCGTGTGTCCCACTCCTGGGGACACCCCGACTGCTGCTCCTGAGTTTGGGTTGAGAGCCGCTGCTACAAACCCTGTCTAAGTCATGTCGTGGTCGGCGTTCAGAATGTCATCCATCACCCAAACCTCTCCGAATAAGCTTCCTCCTTCGTTCATCTGAAATCTTGAGGATGAAGGCTGTTTAAATCCTGATTCCTTCACGACGTTACTTGTGATCTTCTGTATTAAGACAGCGTCGAGAGCGAGGGCGTTCGCCGTGGCCTTCCCACAGACGTAGCAGAGGTGGTTCTTGCAGTTCTTGCAGTCTGACTTCTGGTTCGAGGCACCTGAATATTCCAGACAGCCGTGGGGGAGCAGAGCATAACGGTGGAGTGAGTCACTCATAAACGGTGTAATAAGCTCACGGCACACCAGCTGGCTAATTGTTCCTAGTGTTTTGTAGGTATTACGGCATGGGGGGGCAATGGAGGGGCTTGAGTCACCCGTATCAAAGCATTTCTGCGTGGCAGTTTTTGGAACAGCATCTCAGGTAAACTCCCCAGTAGCTTTTCTCTGACTCTTCACCTGAGCTAACATTTCCATGTCTTTGAAGTGATGCAATCTCGTGTTAAAATAACACTTGAATGAATTTAATAGAAGAAGCTAATCTGCTAGGGCCTAAAACCCTAAAAATGGCAGTTCCAGGTTTAAGTGGGAGCTGGACTACAAATATTGTGGCTTTTATTTCAATTTTTGTGGCATGAGTAAAAGATTTATGTAGGAGTATTGTATGTTAGTTTTTGAGAAAGTTGGGAAGTTTAAAATAAATCAAGGGCTGTAAACGATGGCATGGAGATTTAACTTGAGTTGAAGCAGTTGCTACTTCAGCTGTAAGCCTGGAGCTGTGCTCGGTGCAGTGGTTGTTAGGATGTGGATGCATTTTTGCAGCTGTTGTTGCTTTGCAGCTAAAGTTCTAGTCAATATTCCTGACAGCTAGGTTTTTCTTCAGTCGCCATACTCATCTCAAAGTCTTCATCGGCTCAGGTGTTTTCCATAAGAGGTGAAAATCAGAACCTGGAAGTCTGCGAGATGAAGGGCAGAGCTGCGGCCAGCTGAAGTGCTCAGGTTCCGTTCGGTATGTCCAGAGGCACTTCTGAACATTGCCTCAGTAGCCTCATTCGTTTAGTTTCAGATATTTCTAGTTTTAATGTTCATTTATCTGTGTTTTTTTTTAATTTCCCCTGTCAGTTAATTTAAGGTTGGTTGAGTTTAGTAGGTGATTAGATGTTTTAAATACTCACAACATTTGAGCCTGTTGCCTTCAGTGAAACCGCACAGGGGTGGATCTTGCTCACGGTGCCAGCTGTGGAAGAAATAATTTTGAAACGTATTACCTTGTTTGCTCGGCATTCCATTTAACATCCTTTGCCACGGACTTAACGTGAGGCACTGTAGTCCTTTTCGTCACAATATGTGCTATGAATTGTTAGGCAGCTAACTTTCCAGCCGGATCGCTTTCATCGTTGTACATATGAAACTAATCCCTTCTTGGCTCTATTTGTATCCGAGTGTGCCTAGTGATTTAGAAATTGGTATCAAGAGCATTGCACATATGAATGCCACGATGAAGAGAACATAGAAATCAAATTCTGTCTTCATAAAAATGGCATGTTGGAGTACAGTTAAATGAACTAATCTTGAAATTCCATCTCAGACTCGACGTTTATTTCATATTAGGGTTATCTGCCTTACTTTCAAATTAAGCTGCTAGAAGGTTCAATTTACGGGATGGAATTCAGTGGCATTTTTTTAGTATCATGGGAAAGGATTTCTATACGCACAACTTCTCAGTGTGATTAATTTGCTTCATCTAGTACTCTTGATTAAAAAAAAAGTTTACTGGGTGTTGAGGCAGTGATGATAGTCATTTTCCAAATGGGCTGGGAGAAAACCTGTGAAGTATTAATTTTATAATCTTGAATCAGGTGACAATATTTTTTAATTTGTGTGAAGCAAAAGTATTGTTGTTGTCTACCATCAATTTTTAATATTAAATATTACTGGTTTCTACCGTCATTATTTGCTGTTAGGGATTTTTTACTTTTTTTTTTTTTTAAGCTGCTTATTATTCAGAAATTTGTTTCTCCTAGTTGGAATTCTGATGTGGCTCAGTGTCAGAGTGCCACAGTTTTGAATATTTGTCATAAATCTACAAGAAGAAAGTGGTATAAAGTACTGAGGCACGGAGAATCTCAGTAGTTCAGGTTGCCTGAAGGATCTTTCACAGAGCAAAGACTTAAATGAGAATTCCCGAATTTCAGTCTTGCCCTGCATCTCTGTGGCAGCACCCCTTTCCCTTTCACATAAAGCTTTCACCTTTATGTTGAAGTCCTCAATTTCAACAGATTGTTTGTTCTGCAAAAAACACTTCCAAAGCATATATGTAATGTCAGGTGGAAATATTCAGTATGTGAAATTGATGAGTAGTCTTTGTATTTATTTTGTGGTATCACCGGCTGCTGGATGTTAACAGCAGCATTGAACCTTCCTGAGCCAGGAGGCCTGAAACTTTTCTGTCTGTTCTTACTCCTCATCATGGTTTGAAGTTGATTAAGCTTCTACTCCTAATCTGGCTGGTGCTTTAGGAAGTATTTTTTGTAGGAACTAATACTTGAGCATAGGAGCCTGCCTTCAGACATCACAAACAAAGCGTCCAATTAAAATTTTTCTAGTGACTTTCTTCATCTGTTGTAGGTAATTATAACTCTCTATGAGGAGATGGAGGGTTTGGAAGTTTTAGCTTATTGTTGTTCTAACACATCTTTGGTTCTGGGTACTTGAAGCACCTGCTAAACTTTTGCTGACCTGGTCCTTATTTTCGTGTTATTTCCCTTACTGCCCTGGCATTGCAGGGTTACCGATCTGAAAGACGTCTTCTGCAGATAAGCAAAGGCAGATGATTTAATGCTAAAATTATATCAGTAAAATGCTCTTGGAAGAGGAAAGGTCTTCTAAATTAAAATCTAGTATGTGTAAAAACAGGTGCTGTTATATTTAGAGAAAGAAACTGAAAGCTGTTGGAAACAAACAAAAGAAGCCTGTGGGCCAGCAGCGTGTCTGCGCTGGTGGTATGATGTAAGTTGTTAACACAATGGAGTATTTAACCTGGGTGTATCCCTTATGGCTCGCTTGTTCAGGATGGAGGTCACCCTTCTTGCTGGGCTGTGCTCTGAGGACAGCTCGTGTAAGCCTCGGGTTCCCCACGCCTGCAGCGCTCGGATCCCATCTGCAGCAGCTGGGTGAGCTGAGGCAGCTTCCCAGTCCCTTCCTGTGGCACGGGGTTTCTAGGTATGTGAGATGTCGGTCACACAGACAGCTACATCACAGTTCTCTGCTCGTTAGTGACTTCTGTCGCCTTCCAGTTTTTATTCCCATTCCCGTGCACGGCCTGGGAGGGTGCCCTGGGCTCCTCATTGGGCTGCTTTCTCCGTGTGAACATGTAAGACGAGGGCAGTAGCTTTGGAATCCAAATCCTTGGCTTCTCAGGTGTTGCTGGGGTCCTTTGGTTAAAAGGTTACTCAAATTCGAACAGCCCTTCCTAAAGATGAACTCAGACAAGTCTTGCTGTGCACATGTAGGTCATCCTCCAGCATCCCAAGGGTGGCTACAGGCAGCCAGATGGGTGGCACAACAAGTCAATGCTTCTTGTCCAAATTGGGGGAAACAAAGGTTCTTTCAGGATTTCAACTGTACATGAATCCTTAAAAATCAATAATTAGATTAGTAAAGGATGATGTTTTAATATGCTGGCAGGAATATAGAGGGATTTGTCAGGGGAAGCAAAAACAGACTTTGCACTAAAGTGGCTTAGGTATTATTTATAGTGTTAGTGATATTTGTGTGCGTGAAAACTTTGGACAATTTTAATATAATGTAAGGCTTTGAGCTTTAGCTGACTAAAGTTGCTTGTTTTATGAAGTTACATTAGTACAACACTGTGAAGTATTTTTAAATATTAGCATTACTGGGTATTAAAAGTATTTCATAAAAACATTTTTTAAAACATTTTCTGTAGATGCTGTCAAAGGAGTTGATGTTTAGTGTACAAAGAAATAAAACCCTGAGGGCTGTAAGGTACATGTGTGGTTCTGATCACCTCAGTTTTTGAGGGATCAGGGATTTTTTGGGATAAATTTTTGTCGTTAAAACCTACTAAAAATAATGGTGCAGTTAATCCTTTCAGCTACAGGAAGCAGCATTACCTCCAGCCATGCTTTTGAACTGTCTGAAAGGATTTGCCATCGCGTTTATTGTCTTCATAGACTGATGTCTTTAGCAATGCTGTACAGCACAGTGTTTTGCAAGTTGCTATGCTGATAAATTTCTCTCCATGTGTAACCTTTGGAATCAAGTTTCTATTGTAATTCTAGCATGTAAACACTAGGTTCAATTTTGTATTCCTCTAATGAATGCAACAGGATGGAAATGAGTTTGCAATTGCTAATGATGAGCTTTCTTACTGTTCTTAATACTCGTGGGTATGTCTTTACTTCAGGGAGTTCAAAATTGTATTAGTACCTTTTTTAATTGTTTCTTTTTTTTTTTTTTTTTCCCACATGCTGTTTACAATTAACCTGCAAGCATGGGAGGCTATGCATGCATGTGCTTCTAGGTTGCTTTGCTGAACAAAATGCAGTGGAGCAATCTGACTTTACGGATGCTCTCTTGTCCTTACATTCCACCTGTGTCTGCTCCTTCACAGTCACTGGGACAGCAGAAGCCACCGGTCAGATAATTTCAGTGTTCTGCGGGATGGGGCATCTGCCTGAGGGCTGTCACGAGGAGTTTTGCTGGGGGAGATGATCCAGCTCTGTACATGAGTAGTGTTACAACTGGTACTTTTCTTCCGAGCGTCAGTGAAAAGGCCAGGAATAGACAAAATCACACGTAAGAGTGTGTATGTGTGTTTGTAAGAAATTTGTGCACCTTTTTAATGCTGGAATTTTTTTATTTTTTATTTTTTAATTAAAAGATGAGAAAGAGGTGTGAGTGTGAAACCCCTGCTATGAAAAAAACTACAGGGAAAAAAAAATCCACCAAAGCAGATGAGAAGAGCAAACAGGTGAATTCGAGGCAGTCCAACCCGTGAGACTCGGTGATGCTGGGTGTAGCTGTGACACAGGGAGGAACATTAGGGTGGCAGCCTAGGCCCCCTAATGTTCCCCACCTCTGCCCGATTTGTTCTGTTTTGTACCCTGCAGGGGAAGGGGGGAGTAGTGAAGATGGGCATTTTGATGTTCACGGCAGCTGAGGAACGGTTATTGTTGTGAGTCCAAAAATGTGTATTTTGTGCCAACTCAGAATTGTTGTTAAAATACGGGGGGGAGAGGTACTTCTGCCCAATTATTTTAATAGACATTTCTGTAGCTGATTTTTCAGCTAAGGCTAATATAGGAAAAACTATAGTTAAGCCAAAAATTACAAATGTTACTGATTTAAAATAACCTACATATTTTTAAAGATGAAATGGAACCGCATTAAAGCGAAGTATGTACATACCTGATCCTCAGTCTTTGCATAATTATTTCCAAGAGATAATTTTGCTATGAGCTGTTGAAACTCAAAGCAATGTATTATTCCCTTTGAGCCGACCTGTACTCTAGCTGTGTCATCCATCTCTTGGTTCGTTTCCTTTTTGCTGTAGATGTACGTACATACATAGCTATGTATGCATCTCAGAGTAAGCGATTTAATGTGGCAGTAATTGTACAGTCACACAGTTTAGGGCTTTGTAAAATATGTAATTTTAAGAATGTCAATGTGGTTCTTAGCGAATTTTATAAACACTTTTCTGAATCTGTTATCAGCACTTCCCATCCTAAGAAAAACTGCACATATTTCAGTGATTGTTCCACTGGTTACATTTTTGTCTGCCATTCGTTTTGGATTGATGTAATCTTGATACTACTACAATTTCAAGGGCTGTTGACGCATTTCACATAGCCTGGGATTGCCTGTTCTCCAAATGTATGGATCGTGCATCAACAGTACTACGTAGCCTTACTGTTTTGCCTAAAAGCCTAGCTAATTTATTTAACATTCTCTCTTTAAAGAGAGCTCGTCGGAAGGGGTAGCGTATTTTAGGACGCTCCTTCTCTTTAAAGGGAAACCTGGAATTGAATAGCAGTACTCGTTGATCAGTGATATTATTGTAGCCAAAGGATGCATGGGTGGTTTAATAGGAAGTTTTTGCTTCAAGTTTCTTGATGAAATGTAGTGTTCTACAGAGCTGTGTGAAGAGTGTAGTTTTTTATTCGGAAATGCACTTGTACACTTTATTTGAAAGGTCTGAATGGATCATAAATACATTTAAGAAATAAATGATATGTCACATGTTTTCATGTCTTGTCTCAGATGACTTCTGTGTAACCGGGCTGATAAAGGTGTGCTCGTTCTGGAGTGGGTGGCTTTCCCCTCTTATCTTTACTGCTCCAAATATTCTGCTTTTTACGTAAGTGCCAAGAGCAGGAAAACCTTCCATCATACAGTTTGTGTTTATGCGTTATCCATACATGATGCAGGGCACTGTAGGCAAGCTTCTCTCTATAATTTTCCTGTGGGAAACTTGAGCCCTAAAAGGAAATGAACACAGCTAAAGGGCTGGATATCACAAGGGATTCACTTTTATTTTTAGAAGTGCACTATATTGCCATATTTGGACTGCAAGTATGCTGTATCAATGCACTATTGTATCAAATTGCAGCTGTTTGCCCATTCTGAATTTCTCTTAAATTACTCATTTTTTTTCCCCCAAATACAACTGTTTATTTGGGAGTGTTCTGGGTGAGTGCTGACTCCAGGTAACACCTGTGTTCTGGGGACAGCATTTCTTGTGGGAAGCTAACCAGTGTGTTGCTTTGGAAGTGGGATCTGTGGGGCTTCCTCAAGGTCTCGGTAACAGGTGCAATTCTCCTTCCTAAATCCTCGTAGTGCTTTGGTCCAGGACATGCAGGAGATGCACTCGCTGTAAATGTTCCTGTCAAAAGCAATGGTGGGAATGCCATTAACCTCATTAACCTGCAGAATGAATTTGGTGATGTGGTGTCCTACCAACATCCAAAATAGCCATTGAAAGACCTTCGAATATAGCAGGATGTACTTGAAATGCACAGATCGCCGAATAACGTACCCATAGCATGTATCACTACCCTTGATGCTGCCCATGGAAGTTTGACAGCTTCGTTTTCCCTGCTCGTTAGAGCTGCTGGAAGCTGTCAGCAGATGTGCTGCTTCCTTCAATGTCTTGTGTGTGCCTTGCATCGATACAATACGCCTTGCAACACTGCGCCGCATGCTGAGCAGCCCTGGGCCGAAGCATCTGAAATGTGACCGATGGATGGGATTTTTAGGCCTTTCTTTTCACAATAATCTCTGCCTGTATGACAAAAGCTCCGCAAAGTCAGTGCGACCTCCTGAGAAGCAGTTGCAGTGTGAAAATTTACTCCATGGTGCCAAGAGTGAGAACTGAGCAGAGTTTGGGTTTTGTTTTCTAACGGGAATGGTGTTTGAATTCAGGTTTATGCCAAGGAAATTCGTAATTTCCTTCATTTTTGTATTTTATTTGGCATTTCACAGAATCACAGAATGGTTGAGGCTGGAAGGGACCCCAGGAGGTCATCTGGTCCATCCCCACTCGAGGCAGGGACACCTCGAGCAGCTTGCCCAGGACATGTCCAGACGGCTTTTTCCTTGGACTGCTTTCTTTAATTCTTTTTAGTTTCTATAATTCTCTTAACTTTTTTTAACCTTTTAATTTTGGTAAGCTTTAAATGTTTAGAATTTTAATCATTTATTGGGTGGATGTGTCACGCCAGTGAACAAACTGTATTTTGATTTTTTTGGGAGACGGTCTTAAGTTTTGAACCTTATAGTTTTTCCGTTTTTATATCACTTTTTGAAGCCAGCCTGTGTCTCAGTAAGGGCTGTGTTTTATGTCCACACCTGATCTCCAGGTGTGACAGGAGGAGCTGATCCTCGAGTGGTGAGACATTTTGAGCAGGTAACTTCCTCTACTGCAATAGTTCATTTCAGTTTTCTTTCATCACAGATCTTGTCCCTTCAGCAATTCTTTGCTGCTGCTGCTTTGTCTTTTCAGTTTTATGTAGGGGATTAGGAAGAATAAATCTGACCTACTGAAAACTACAAGTATTTCAGCCCTGTGAAGAGGTCCTCCTGACTCCAGTGCCTTGAGATCTTTGAAGTGTGGCTTAAGCTCCTGAAAAAGCTTCCAGTGCGCCAGTCTCACTCTGAAGATGTTGATTGAGATTGTGACTGCACGATGCAATTTGCAGATCCTGGGATGCTCAATCAACCGGAGAGGAAGTTTTTAGTATAACCCCACTAATATTTTAAAGTGCATGAAAGGGGGAGGAAGGCTGTGTTCAGAGCATCCATATTTCCCTGCTTTCCTTCAGAGCAGTGAACTGTTGTGAGAATTTTAATCTTTACTGCGCTTGCCTCAGTTCTCATGGCTGTTTTCCATTCTGTTTTCTTTATTACTTTCTTTTTCTTCCTGTCATTCTTAGCTTTCTATTTTTCAATCCCAGTTTGTGAAGGGTGTGGGTTCAGAAGGGTTTCCTTCAGTTCCCAGTCCCCTGAAAGCATGAGAAATTGCCCATTGAGCCAATTCTCACAGCAAGGTATAAAAATAGGAGTAAAGAAAAGGTTACACAATGCTTGGATTGCAGCAGTTTGTACTAACGGAGAGATTTCAAAGCCACGGTTTGAAAAACATTTTTAAAACCTTATCATTTCCGTTAATTTTTCTCTCACCAAGCTATGTTTGAGCTGCAGGAACTAGCTTTCCAGATTACTTGAGGAATTGTACTGAAATACAGGAGTCAAGTGCTCAGCAAGTCACGCAAAGTCAGAGGGACCACTAATTGCTCTCTTTAGTCAAAATGAGTGATTTCTTTGAGAATCCTGTCCTAAGAGTTTCCAGCCAGATGCTTTTGTGTCTTCTATTAAATAAGGGAATTAAAAGACAGGTGGATTTAAGGTTATTTGCTGTCATCTGTGCCCTTGCAGCAGACCACATGTAACTCCCAGGAAATCCACTTGTTTGGTGCCACAGACTGCTATCAGCAGTGGACACAGTCTGCACCCTTGCAAAGGAGGGTACTTTGCTGTAATTCAGCCTCGCAAACTTCTAAGAAACTGGAAGTTATCACAAAGGCGTTATTCGCATGCTTTAAAATTCTGGATTTATTTCTGAGTGTTTGTTTTCCCTTCTTGTGAAACGAGCTGAAGCTGACAGCCAGCCATCATCTGACTTGTCTTTGTTGACTTAAAAGGATTTTTAATGCGTGTGTGTGTGTATTTATAAATATGAAATTTCTTTAGTATTGGCTTCTCTTTGCTTCTGATTTCCTTGTAATGAAATGGGCCTCTTTGGCATATTAATTATTACCAAATTGAAATGCTGTACAGTACTTTTGATATCATTTCCAAAACAATCCAATAACTTGATTCTAATAGCAGTGTAATGCTTTCCTAATGAAATGTCTGTATTAAGCCACAGAGAGGAGCATTAAACTTGGATAAAATCTGAAGAGACAATGAAGTCCACTGCTGCAGTTTTGTTCCTGTTTGCAACATTGAAAAAGATCAACTAAAATCTGTATTCCTGCAGATTATTTCATGCTCTCTGAAGTTACTTTACTTCTGAACTTTCTTCCCTTTGTCGAACAAACCCACAAGTTATCTGGCTGTAGTAAACCAGCCAACAACAACCACCCACCTCTTCCAGTGGGGTTCCGCGGGGCACCGTGGATGTTTGCAGCCGCAGCCTGGTGCGCTGCTCTGTGATGGTCTCAGGTGTGAAGCTGACCAGGGTTTTATTTGAGAGTTCAGTCAGTTGGCCATGCCATCTCGTAAGGGAGCCTGGATGCTTCCCAGAGCAATAGTTGCTGATTTATTGTTGTGGGATCTTTTCAGCCAGTTGCTCACTGCCGAGATCCCCCTACCGAGGAGCTCTTGTTCCATGCCTAGGACAAGCCCTCTTTTTGGCAGCAGAAAGAGGGACCAGTTATAGGCAAAAAGAAATACCTACAGATAAAGAGGGCTTCGTTTCTATTTTGTTTCCAGCGTAATGGCCTTTCCTGATTTGGTGGTGGTCACAGGCTTGCTGCGGGGTGTTCCCTGCCATCGTGCACGTCCCTGAGCCACGTCCAGCAGTGCTGGTGCCAGCACTGGTCTGAGGGCTCTCACCAGTTACTGGCCTCCAGCTGGACCTGCACCGCTGCTCACAGCTATTGCAGCCCAGCAGCCCAGGCAATTTTCCACCCACTTTCTGCTCCAATTACCTAGCCTACGTCTCACTAATTTGATTTTAAGGAGAAAGTGGGAGACTGTGTCAAAGGCCTTGCAATCTGCTGGCCTCTCCTTATCCACAGCTCCTGTCACCTCACCATTAAGTTCCAGGAGGTTGGTTAGGAGTGTTTTGCCCTTGTTACATCCACGTTGCAGCTCCTAGTCACCTTCCCGACCTTTGTGAGTTTAGAAGTGGCTTCTGAGAGGTGTGTGGTGCTGTTGCACCATGTGTTAAGCTCTGGGTGGTTAGTGTCTTCCTTGGGCTCATACTCAGTTTTCTATTTTTATATTGCCTAATTTTTGGGGGAGGATGAAGAGTGGTTTCTCTAGCTAACACATTTAAGAGAATAAATGAAAGAACTTAGGATGGCAGCGTGCAGCTGCTTACAATTGCTTGTTACCCTCTGCAGTTGTAAGAAAAATGAGATGCGACTAGGCAGCATTTGTGTTCAGAAGACTGGGAGGGAAGGCTGCTGTCTGCACTGCAACGTCCTGGAACGCTTTTGTGTGTGCGCTTTTTCTGCCACTCACTGACTGTTCCCAGATGTGCTTAGGTAACCAAATCTATCAAGATTGTGATCTGGAGCTGCCAGCCTGCAGGCAGGCTGTTCTGGCTGAGTAGACTGTATTTTGTTAAATTTAGAACAGTGCACTGAACACAATGCCAATCTCTTAACTCTCAGTCCTAGCATATTGTAATTTAGTCTCTTTTGATGTGTTTTCATTTATGTTACCTGAATTTTTATTTTTGTCTAATAGGAATCTCCGCAAGACAGTGCTATCACCCGAGACATCAATCGAACGTTCCCTGCGCATGATTATTTTAAAGATACCGGGGGAGATGGTCAGGACTCCCTGTATAAAATATGCAAGGTATTCTTTAAATTCTTCTTCACTTATTTTGGTAACTTATGTTTAAAATCATTTACAGATGTAACTGTTACCTGAGAAGAATCTGGAGGGTATTATTGTTAACTGTATCATGGAGACAGACTGGTGCTAGGCTCAGGTTGGTCCTTAATTGTAGATG